TGGTCCATTGACCAAAATTCCAACAAAGCTTCTTCATTTCCACATGATTATGGAAACCGCAAGATCCCAAGATCTGTAGTCAGCAAACTGGAGACCCAGGAGTGTTGGTGATGTGGTTGTAATCTGGGCCCAAGCCCTGATAACCGGGGGAGTAAATGGTGTAAGTTCTAGTGTGAGAACAGGAGAATACCATGTCCCTGGTCAGCAGTTAAGCAGTGAGAGAGATACAGAGAGAGAAGGAAGGAGGGAAGGTCTACTTGAGTGAATTCTGCTTTACTCATCCTTTTTTTGTATTGTATGTTGTCTTCAGTGGATTGGATGAGACCCACCTTCACTGGGGAAAGCAATCTCCTTTACTCAGTCTACCTATTCAAATGTTATCTAATCTAGGAACATTCTCAAAGACATAACCAGAATAATATTTAACTAAATATCTGGGCACCCCATGACCCAATCAAGTTGACACATACAATTTACCATCACACCTAACCATCCTGATATTCCCATAGTTTGTACTACTTGTTAATTTTTTTATAGGACTCTTAATGCTCACATTCCTTCTATGTGGGTATTTTAAATTGTTAAAAAAAAAACATTAAAAGAGAAAGTCCTGGAAATAGAATGATTTTACCATCTAAAAACATTTTAAAATGAAATTGTTTGACAAATTCAATAAAAAAATCTGTTCAAAATAACCCTACCCCACTGAACCTGTTTTCTATTGCCTTCATTATTTATGTTTAATATTTGTAATATAAAAATGGGACTTATTTTTAGAGCAGTTTTAGATTCACAATAAACTTGAGTGGATGGTGCAGAGATTTCTCATATAACCACTATGCTGACAAATGCACAGCCTCCCCCACCATCAGCAACCTGTACCAGAGTGGTACATTTTTCACAATCAATGAATTTACACAAAACATCATTATCACCCCAAATCCACAGTTTACATAGGGTTCATTCCTGGTATTACACATTTTGTGGATTTCGACGAATGTATAATGATACATATGCACTGTTAGGTTATCATACAGAGTAGTTTCATTACCCTAAAATTCCTCTCTGCCCTGCCTATTCATCCTTCCCTTTCCTCAACCCCTGGCAAGCATGATCCTTTTATTATTTACACAGTTTTATTTTTTACAGCATGTCATATCATTTTTTAAATTGGCGTCTTTAATTTGGTAACAGACATTTAAGTTTTCTTCATTTTTTTCCTCATAGGTTGAATGCTCATCCTTGATTTATTTTATCATAGCACTTTGCACTAACTGAGATCTTATTTATTTGCATGCATGTTTATTGTTCATCTCTTCTACTAGTATGGAAACTTCTGGAAGGCAGGGACTTTATTTTACTACCACTGAATTCCAATCCTTATAAAATGTTTAGTATACAGTAAGAGCGCAAAAAAATTTTTTGAATGAATGAACAAATGAATCTTTTATAACTGTAAGCCTCTCACTTAGGGAATTGTCCCTGACATGTGTGGTGCAAGAGTTCATCTGATACTGCTGTTTCAGTGGGATTTAACTGTAATGGACTCTTAAAGCAAATGCTTGCCACCATTTTGGTTGGGATATGGGACTGGAGCGTTCATCAGTGATAAATAAAATAGAAGAAAGCATAGGTTTCCAGCAAGATACTATTTTATTTTTTTAATGCAGAAATAGAATATATTTTTTTTTTTTTTTAATAGAGGCATGTTTTATTTATTTATTTGTTTGTTTGTTTGTTTTGTTTATACATGCACTGGGTACAGTCAGAAGCGCGGGAGGGTGAGAGAATTCACCAGAGCCAGAGCGGGGAGCAGAGCAGGCAGAAGGACCGAAGTACACTGCTGAGGGGAGCAGCGGGCGGCAGGAGAGGTCTGTCCCGCCATGTGGGACCCTCCTTCGGTGGCCGGGGAGCAGCCGGGGATCGAACCGGCGCCGCAGAGGCCGCGGGCAGCTTCGCAACCCAGCGCTCAACCGCTGCGCCACCGGGGAGGCCCAGAAATAGAATATAAATGGGAAGTGGGACTATTTAATTTTGCTTCTTGTGATAGCTGTTTAAAATGTTAAAACATTTTCTATTATAATACTCACTGACCCCTAATCCCAAAAAGAGCAACCTCTCTACAAGTACTAGAATTGTTGTGGAAATATGTAATATTTTTATGTAGTAGGTGATAGATTACCTCACTCCCTACACTTGCATGTACTAAATGGTACACCTTTGTTTCACTTTAACTGATAGGTTATCATTTAACCCTTCATGAATCCTTTCCTAATGGGCAGCAAGAAAGTCTAATTCTGCCAGTTAGTAGGAGCTCAGACTCTTCTGCTTTAAAGTTTCCTTTTGCTTTGAAATAACTCCTTTAGAGGAAATGCTTGGTCCTTAGGCACTCTTCTCCTTGCCCAAGATGGCACCTTGGGGGACTTATCTGGGCACTTACTGTTACTTGTAGTGGTAGTGAGGTCACATTTGTCCCCCTTGTCAACCTGCTGCTTCTGAAACCAGCAGCAAGTGGATGAAAGGCCTTTTCTCCCTCAGCTTAGTTCTTCAACTGACTTGGTGCCTCTGCCATTCCCCTGAGGCAGGCCTGGGAGTTTTCAGCAACATAGCCTTTCCCTCATAGTTTCTCTGGAACCTCCTTTGTAGGCTGGCCAGCCAAATCTACCAGATACTTTCTGTGTGCCTTTCCAAAACACAAAGAAATTTGTGCGTCATCTCACTTCATATGGCAGCTAAGGCAGGTGGCTCATTAAATTCAGGTCTTTTTTTCTACCTCATTTGATACAATATGTGTGAAATATCCTCCTTGTCAAATGGAAAGGAGCAAGAGGCACTGTGTTTTCCACTTTCGCCTCAATCTAGCATTCACCTTTGGAGACTCTGGTTTGGGAGGCAGAATTTCCATAACATTCATATCTGATCCTTTGCCTTCTGTCTATCTCTCTTCCCACACAACCCCCCTGAGCCTGAAGATTGGGCTTTTCTTCTTCTGTTTGCGAGGGTCTTCTATGCCATATCTTCCTCCATCCCAACTCTAATGGTCTACTTTAGTCTAAAAACTAAGTTCAGAGTTCAGGGAAAGAAATAAGCTTGTTGAAAATAGAACATATATACACTTGGGAAATACTTTTAAAAAATGACTTCAGGTCCATGTATATACCTTTTAACTAGCTTAACTAATCAAATAAATCTATCTTGTTCTTTTAAAGAGCTGCATAATATACCATAAAAGTAACTTATTTTATTTAGGCAGTCTCCTACTAAAATGCATTTAAATAATTTCCAGTCACTTTCTATACAAACAATGCTTTGGTGGATATTACTAAAGATAGTTGTGGTCTTCTTGCATATTTGTGTAGTTTATCCTTTGACTGTTATCTCTAGCAATGGAATTGCTGAATCAACAATGTGTGCATTTAAGATTATCTTTAAAATTCTAGCACTTTATAGTTTTGTAACAGAGCCCTTACCCAGGCCTTGCCAAGAGGGCATGCTGGCTTTATTGGCGCTATACTGTGGACAAGTCGATGTAGGCTGCTACAAAAACTGTTGTAGCAGGAGCAGCAGCAGTGGTAGCAGCAGTTTGGTGGGCATCAGGAAGCTCTGGCAGCAGAGGCAAACCTCAAGCCTGCAACTTCCGACCCTGCGCCACTTGGAGGCATGTTGGTCCCTGCTGGGACAGCTCCAGGTCTGTAGCTACCTGAAGCCCACTGGCCCATAAGCCTGCCCTGACCTGAGTGCAGGCTAGTCTAGGCAGGAGCTAGGATTTTCCCTTTTCTATCTAGCTGCAGGATTATAAATGGACCAGTCATATCCCAACTCTTAAATTGTCATTCAAATCTTAATTATGTGAATTGAAAATGGCGCAAATTTGATTGGTGCTTAAATGGCACCAATCAGGATCAGAAATGGATCAATCAGGTTTGAGCTCAATGGACCAATCAGGTTTGAGCTAAATGATCAATCAGGTTCAAACTCAGTGAACTAATCACATTTCAATGATTATTCAAAGCTTGAGTTAAGTATGCAGTTTGAAAATACTTGAAAACCTTGACTGATGTTAGTGGGACCAATCAGACACTTAGGATTGAAAAACAGACATATCAGGCTTGTAGGTTGGGGTACCCTGAAGAGGATATAAGGTAGAGCCAGAGCCCACTTGACTCACTCAACAACCAGCCTCTGAAGAGAGAAGGATTCAGCAGACCTCTGTAGTCTTATAGAGTTCCATGCCTCTGTACATCTTCACAGACACCCAACTGCTGCATCTGCCCCTGGCCCTTCCTCTGACATGGCCTGCAAGTAAAACTGTTGGCTTTGACCTGGTGTCTTAAAAAGCTGTTGGCTGTTGGTTCATACCAGTAGCTCACAAAGACCCATAGCACTGGTGTTTTTGACACCACTTCCTGGTGACTGATGCTGACTGTCACTACTGATTGGTGACCAGCACTCTGTCTGGCCACCTTTGAGAGCTGTCTACTACCTCTGAGTCTCTGGTACTACCTTTTGGTGCTGTTGATTTCCACTGTTGTTCAGTCCAGCATCTGGTGCTGTCCACCCTGGCATTCAGACTGTTCCTGAAGGCTGCTGCAGTGTCATCTCAGCACCCCCATCTGTGAGTACCTACAGCTGCTACTGTGATTTGGACCTGGTGCACTGCTGACTTGTGTGCCACCAGTTTCAGGCCTTTGTTGATGGGGCAGCACCATCTGGCATGAACAGAATTTCTTTGGGACTGCTAGACACTGTGGAAATTTTCTGGGGTGAGAGAAGCCACTTGTGGCTTTACACACTCTTTCCTTTTCCCAATCTCCTGTTTGTCAAATAACCCTATTATTGCTGGACCCTGAGCTTGACTGGTATCTTGCAATTTAGCACATGGGTGAGATCCCACAGACAGTGACCTGTCCCTAAGTTGGCACTCTCCTTGGTACAGTTACGTACTATTTTAGCACTGTTTCAGTTTCACTTACTGATGAAAGTCACATTTTCCTTTTAAGATAATGGCTTTTACATTTATGCCAGCGATTATTTGGAAAGAAGAGAGGACAAAGCAGGAAGAAAGGAGATGTGTCATTTGGTAAGTCACAGTGTAAATAAAGTGTGGCATAGATTCATGGATGTTCAAATCATATAGAGCTTGGCGAGAATTCCAAATCTTCCATTTAATAGCTGTGTGACTTCAGTTTCCCTATTTATATGGGTTGTTGTAAAGATCAAATCAGATAATACATGTATTTAGTATTCAATAAATGCTTATTGTTTGTAGTGTTACTTAGTACTGCTATGCTAGATATTCAGTATATACCAGGCACTATACTAGGCTTTATTCTAGACTAGTTGTACACAGCACAAGCCCATTGGAAACCATCAAATCTTCAAAAAGGTCTAAGTGTCCTGGAAACTCAGATCTATTTTGAACATAATTTATGTGGTTAATTAAAAAATCAATTGCAAAGAAACAGTTTCTTCTTGGTAGTTTGATGCTTTTGAGGAGGTCTCTTTTAATTTTGTATGACTTTCTTGAAAGCATCTCATAGATCATATGACTGGTTGATATGTTTACCTCAGTTTTTGAAAGTTCAGTTACACATTTGTCATAGTTTCTATAAAGTCAAAATCTTGAAATTCTTCCAAAAATATTTTTGGTGTTGGGTTAAGAAATACCTTCAGGGTAGAATTGAGGTAGATTTGGTTCTCCCAGTGAGTTTCAAAGGGAAATTTGGGGCTTCTTTTTAGGATTACATTGTAAAATGTCAGTCCTGTGTTTCTGGTGGAGATTATGATGGTACCTTCCCTGTGTTAATAGAGGAAATGATGAAATAGTGAAACAATGTAGCACAAGCCACCCATGAGATTGAAAACCTGGCCCTATTATTTCACAGTGTATCACTTCATAACCGTATGGTGGAATACTGTTTAGGGCATTCTCCATTCCTTCCTTTATTACTCAGGTTTTGAAAGTTTTAGGTGAGTCAGACCTGGATTTGAGCCCTCATTCTGGTTCTTATTCCTTATACCATTCTTTTTTCTGTACTCCTTTTTCTATTTCCCTGAATGCGTTAGCTCCTCCCTGCTATAGGGCACATGCTATTCTTTTGCTTGTAACACCTGTTTTCTTTCTCCTCCTTCCTTTGCCTAGTCAACTCCTACTCAGTCTTCAGATCTTAGCTCCAGGCTCACTTTCCTAAGAAAACCTTTGTTAACTGCTTCAAGCTTATCAGTGTTCTAGATGTATGTTTATCAAAGTTTGTAATACATATATTCATTTGTATAACAATTTGATTAATTTTAGTCTTTCCTACCCTATTGTAGTCCCTAAGAGCAGATAACCCCATTGATTTTGCTCACTATCATTCTCTTAGTATCCAGCACGGAACCTGACATTTAGTATGTCCTCAATTAAAAAAAAAAAAGTTAAATGAATGAATGAAGCTTATATTCAGTGCTTCTTTTATCTCGCCTTGGTCTATCTGCTCTGGCACCAGTCACCCAAGGCCTATCTTTCAAATATTTTCACTCAGTTATATATATTTATGTTCTCTTAATCATAAGGAAACTTCTATATTTCATCTTGACCATCTTTATTAATACTTTCTAATCTGAGTGTCTCAGGCAGGAAATAGTGAAGACCTCATGACTATAAGGAAGGAAAGTACTTAGTAAATTACCCTTCCCCTCTCTCTTTACTGAACTGCAGGGGAAATCCCTTTGACCATGAAAACCAGGGACAGAGTGAGGCTGGAGGCCACAGGCTATCGTGGTTTGCATCAAGATAGATAACTGAGGAGAAGAAGGTGGAAATCCATAGTTAATAATAGTCCATGGAATTCCTTTACATGTGGGAGTCATAGCTTTAGGGTGCTTTCCCAGACATTTTGGTTGGTCATCAGAGGGATTTCATACTAATAAAAATCACTATTGCAAATTGCTTTAAACTATGATGTACAATTAGACAGGATCTAAAATTAGAGATGGTTGGTGAGGGCACCTCACTAATTGTGTGTTCAACAGGTCAAACAAACTCTTGGCCTGAGGCAGAGATGTGGTGGGGAGGCTCTGAGATCTTCCCTGGAGTATCTTGGGGAGTGTTCCCAGGAACCAGAAAGTTGGCATTGTAAAATTAGGGACTGAGTTAAGTGCAGTGCCTTTGCACTGAGCAGTTAGTAAGTACTTGCAATTCCTTTATTACTATAGAAGGCAAATAGTCACTTATGCTTGAATTGTGGGGTCGGGGGAGAAATAGCATGCACAGTTCTCTTCTTCTTCAAGGCATAGACACACTAGAATCTATCTCCTTGTTTATCAAGACACTTCAGCAGTCTGTTACTTTTTAAAACAATCAAACCTTCCTTTAAATGTAATCCTAATTAGAAGAAACTATAGAATGCTCTTAGTGTTGGGAAAGAGGAAATTTTTTCTGAATATTTTTTGTTGTGTAACCACAAAATTCCTTCCTGAGCTATGACAATTTGTTGAGAAAATCAGGATTCTTGTAACCTTCACCACACTTTTACTCTTATGGACTTTATCCTGATGTATTTTTATTTGATATTTTTGTCTATTTTTAACTGAATTATGTTATTCCTATTAGACCTGAAGCTTCATTGGAGCAGGAATTTCTATTTTGATGACACCTGTCTGTATCCATTTATGTCATAGAGTAGGTGCTCAGTAACTATTTACATGGATCAATTCTTTTAGTCTTCAGTGAGCCTAGAAAGCTGTTATCATTAGCTTCCTCATTTTATGAATGAGGAAGCTAAGCCATAGAGAGGTTAAGTAATTTGTTAGTCAGTAGTAGAGTCTTTAGTAGAACTAAAAAAATCTGAATAGATTCATCATATGATCATCTGCAACAAATAAACGTTTCTTAAAAGGATGAGGGCTCCTTGGGAACAGATTTGGAACAGCCTTATTATGTGATATATGAATCATGAAGACAGATGTGTTCAGGTTTCAGTTAGCTGGGAAAGCATGCTTCAGTGCATACCTGGGATGGGGGTGATAGCAATGGGGTGGGCAGGAGAGACAGGTGAGGATGTGGGAAGTGGAACAGGCAAATCTGGTTAGTAGCACTCCAGGAGTCAAGGTGTTCTGGTCTGGTCTGTTTTATAAGATCATCTGTTTTAGACTAGAAGCTGAAGTTGTTTCTTTACTTGGAAAAAGAATGGCCTAAGTTTGGGGAATATTTTTCAAGATGCCTGAGGCCAATCATAGAGTTTGTGTACTTTTTGGTGGCACAACTAGTTCTTTCAGACACCATTTATAATCCAGAGTAGGTCATGGGTTCAGGGCAGTGCTTTACAATTATTTGTGCTTATGGTTTAAAAAACACAAAACCAACCAGTAAAGAAGGACACAAAAAGGTTAGAGTAATCTCATCCAGAAGTCTTTTATGTGTCTAGCAGCCTGCACATTGTCTCATAGACTTACCTCTTTTTCCTTCACATACATGGGAACATACTATATTATGTGTTCTGAATTTTTCTTGGTAAAAACTAGATTTGTTTTTGGGATGTCTGAATTAATATGATAGACTAAATACAATTTTTCTTCCTTCCAAATTTTCACTAAACCTACAGAAAGGGATTTTCTTTTTCTTTGGATTTTTTTTAACTGTTCTAGATTTTTTTCTAGATTTTTACTTTATTTTATTACATTGTTCTTTATTTTTGTACAATTGTTGATTTCTCTGCTCGTGTGTAGTCCCCCTAAATCTCCCATCACCACCTCACCTATGAACTGTCACCATAGTCCCTTGTGCTCTCCATCCCCTGTTTTGACCCTTTTCCTGCCTCTCTCTCCTGCTGTATGTCTCAGATCTATAATTTGCCTGCTAGAATTGTCTTTTATTTCTTCTCTGACCCTTGTTCAGTTTCCTATATTCCTCCTGTAAGTGAAACCATCCGATATTTTTCTTTTTCCTTTTGACTTATTTCACTGTGTATAAGAGAAAGTGATTCTTTTAAACACAAACATTTATAAGATAGAGTAAATGGAAAAAAAATAAAAAAACTCTCAATAATTTGCAGAAATGCAGGTGGAAAAATGGCAATTGATGTAGTAGGCCCAGGAAAGCTGAAACCTAAGCTTGCCAGGGAGAAAGCTGAGAGTCACCTGCTTTAACTCAGGATGCCCAAAGGCTCAACAGTTGACAGCTAGAGCCAGGTGTATTAGAATGGAGAGGAGGGGGTGCTAAGGGATATGGGAATCAGGGTATTTAGACTGGAAATGCAAGATACAGGTGAAGGCATGGACTCTGTACTGAAAATATGGGGGAAGGGTTATAGGTATAATGCATATGCACATTGTAGATTTTATTTTTCCCATTTGGCTCTCTGAGCTCAGTAGATAGGGTTCGTCTTCCAGGTAGGAGCTGGAAGAGTATACCCCAAAGAATCTGACTCATGAAAGCAGAAAGATATAAAGATACTAACTCTAGAAGCACTCCACAAGCCAAGGTGATCTGATATGGTCTGTTTCATAATATGTAGGAAATACGCACATTACCCACTGATCACTCTACAGTGAAGCACAGAGTCAGTAAGCCCCATCCTCAAACTTAGTTTCCAATTAACAATTAACCCTTTAATCTCCATAATTTAAACATGAAAAGATAACCAGATATGTGAGGACACCATCTAACATGAGAAAGTGTAAAATAATTGAAACACAATTGCAAAAATAGATTGTGCAGTTAGAAGGAAACATGACAGTAACACTCAAATAGAATAAAGAGAAGAAAGTTAGGAACATCCAGGAATTCTAACAATTCAACAACAAAAGTTCCAGAAAGAAAGAGCAAGCAGAGAATGTGGAAGGGAAGATATTTTCCAGAATGAAATTTTATGATTAAAAGGGACCAATTATTGCCTAGCACAAAGAATGAAAGAGACTCTCCAGCATAATTATGACATTTCATTATTTCGGAAATAAGGTTGATTCTCTAGGCTCCCAAAGAGTAAAAGCAGGTCACACACAAATGATCAGCAATTCAAAGGACTTTGTACTTCTCAATAGTAGCATTGAAAGTTAGATTGGGCCTCCCCTGGTGGCGCAGCGGTTGAGTGCTGGGCT